ATCTGTGTGAAAATATTTAGTATCCCACGAACAAAGATAATATGTTCCATTGCTTTTAAATTTTAATTTTATTTGAACAAGTTTTAGTTATGTACCAAAAAAATTATAAGATAACTGTAACTGATTAGTAACTAGTGAAACACGTAAAAAAATAAAAAAATAAATGAAAATTAATCAAGAAAATAAATATGAAAAAGGGAAAACTAAATAAAGAAGGAACGAAAATATGATACAAAATGAATAAAATAAAATAAAAGGAAAATGATCAAATTTAATTTAAATATATAAAAAGTATAAAATGAATCCAAAACTATCACTACTAAAAAGGGAACTGTTAACTAGGCCGAGCCAATAAGAACGGGGTGTGGGTGAAGGTTCCTTCACTCCTGCAACAAATGTAATCTAGGAAAACCGTAAAACTCGTCATTTTGGTCTTAGCGTGCTATTTTTTGATCTTCATATTTTCTTAGCCAACAAGTCTCATAGGTCAAGGTCATGACACTATTATGTCATGTCACTAAATATTATCTTTCCTACTTTTTTTTGCTATATAGCCAACGACTTTTAGGTGCGTCGACACTTTTAGGTCGAGAAGACCCACTGGTCATGGTCACGCATATTATGACACAATCAAATCTAATCTTTGTGTGAGATATAGCGATTGTTTTAGGGGCCTATACATTTTTATGTTGACGAGACACACGCGTGTCACACTCACTGGGGAATGTCTATATGTTGCTTGCTGTGAACTGCTGGCCCAGTTAGCGTTGATGTTGGTCGCTAGCCTCTGACTAGCTTCGTAGAAGATTTGCTGATTTTTTTTCTCAATTTTGTTTTATTTATTTTTTATTGCACGCATTTCTTTTTAATGTTTATTTTTATTTTTTTCTTTTCCCCTATTTTCACCTTTTGTTTTTCAAAAAAGTTCAAATATTTTTAAAACACAAAATTGATTTTTCAAAAAACACGATGAACATTTTTTAAACATACAATGAACATTCTAAAAAGTATGATGAACATTTTTAAAATACACAATGGAAATTATTTCAATACATGATGAACATTTTCTAATACATGATAAACATTTTATAAATATGCATTGAACATTTATTAAATATCATGATGAGCATTTTCAAAAATAAGGCAAACACTTTTGATGTATATGATAATTTTTTTGCAATGATGGATAGTTTTTTAATACACGATGAACATTTTTTGAATACCCAACGAACTTTTCAATACAATATAAAAAAACTAATAAATTTTAACAAATTTTTTAATATACAAGGAACATACTTAATACACCATAAACATTTTGAATACACAGTAATAATTTTTTCATACAAGATGAACATTTGTTAATACACTATAAACTTTTCAATAAACTATACAAATATTTTTTTAAATAAATGATGAACTTTTTTGGTAACAAGGTAAATATTTTTTAATACAAAATTAATTTTTTTTAAATCATGAAAAACCATGAACATTTTTCAATACACGATGAACATTCTTTTAAAATACGTGATGAACATTTTAATAAACTGTAAACTTTTTTTATATAGGCCGCAAGCATTTTTTTAATATGCAATGAGCATTTTTTAATACACGATGAACATTTTTTCAAATACATGATAACCATTTGTAATACACCATGCACATTTTTAGTACATGGCAAACCATTTTTAAAACACGATAAGCATGTTTTAATAGAAACGAAAAAAGAAAAAGAGACAAACAAAGACGAAAAATAAAAAGTGGAAGAAAAAAATAAGCAGAAAATGAAAGGTAGAGAAAAAATAAAACAGAAAAGCTAAAAATAAGTGAAAAACACAAAAAAAGCAATTAAAAAATAAAACCAGGAAAATTAAATGTTCAAAAACTTATTAAACCTGGTTCCCGAAAAACAAAACAGAAAGAAACCGCTGCAACCTTTCCTGTAACTGGGTCGGCCCACTTCAAGAGCGTTGTAGGCAAGGTATAGTACTGGCGCACTCACGGATCTAAAATTGCAAACCTCGTTACCGAAATCACTAATTAAGGAGTACTCCTTGCGGAGATCACTCCAACTTCCCCAGGTTGCGACAAGTGGTGCACAGGTTGCGACAAGTGGCACACATCGCGCCACTTATCGCAACCTGGGAGTTTTTCTTTTTTTCGTAAATTCGTTTATTCAAAACCTTTTATTTCTTAAACCGTGCGTCCAAATCTCCAACCGCTTTCACCGTTGGATTCCTCGCGTCGAGATCTTCAAAACTAGATCCCATGTTGATAGGTTTTGGCGAACTTTTTTTTTACGAAAAAACAGACGGAAAAAACCGACGAAAAAAACGAACCGGGAACACGGGTTTTTTTCCCTTTCCGATAGAGGCACGCCCGTGCCTCTGACGAAATCACAACCATGCCTCTCGCGGAAGCAAAATCGTGCCTCTCGCGAAAGAAAAAAAACAGAAAACTCTTTTTTTCCTTTTCGAAAGGGGCAGCCCGTGCCTCTCGTGAAAGCACGCCCGTTCCTCTCGCGGAAGCAAAACCGTGTCTCTCGCAAAAAAAAACAGAAAACGTGTTTTTTTCTTTCTGAAAGAGGCACGCCCGTGCCTCTCACGAAAG